AAAAGTAACGACAGGAAAAAAATAAAATTAATTTTCAAAAAAATCCGTTCTTTCCTAAAAACTCAGCAATCTTTGAAATTTTTAAAACTTTTTTGATGGCATATTGGTAACATCCCAAGGCGCAACTTTGCCCCAATTTAACCTTCTTCGTATCTATTACGGTCATATTACGGTTACCAAGATACCAATGCTCGTACCTCGAATTTGTAGCACCCTGTATAATAAAAAAAAATTACAATTAAAAGTACTCGACAGAAAGCTAACTACATCTATTTTATAACTACATAAAAAGTCCATAATTTCTTTGCACAGTTAAAAACAATATTTCTTACTGACACATTCGAATTCCAAGAAGTCATACCGCATGAAAATGACCTTTCAAAAAATTTAAGCCTTTTTTTAACGATAATTTTCTATTAAAAACAGAAAGTAAAACTCATCGACCGGTAATAAAGGACGTGGAAACGAAAAGCCTTAATAAAGTTAACGACCTTTCTGAAGAAAATCGACCAAATTTACATAGATAGCCATTTCGATGACCTTCGTTAGGAGCCAAGGTAAGGAAAATTATTCGAAGCCCTTCGTGTTAAAATGGATATTATCGCAATAACCTGTACGTGACACCATAACTGTTTATAGTCTAACTGCGTATGATTTCAAACAAGGAAATATACAGAGTAAATATAAAGTTTAGTATAACACAGTATACAGGGTGTTTCAAAAAACATGTGCAATCTTTCGTGGTGAGATTCCTCACGTAAAAATAAGATATATTTTTCATATTATTTGCTTAGTTTCGTACCTACAGGGGGTTAAAGTCTTCATCTTTTTTCGATTTATTATAATTTTCTTCTTTTAGCGAAGTGCTTTTAGCGATTCGAATGAAATTTTGAGGCTAAAAGTTACTATATGTGCGACATATTTTAATGCTAAAAAAGTGTCGACATATTCACCAGGGACGTGCATATGGACAGTCACTGGAATATTTTTCTAAAAAATATTCCAGTGACTGTCCATACAGTTTTGAAGTTAAAACTTTAAAAAATAGGCCTTTTGTCACTATCTTTATTAATATTATACATATTTTTATTAATTGTGATTAATAAAATTGTTGGACAAAATAAATGGACAAAATATCAAATTAAATAATAATTGTCTACACACATTTACTACAAAGAGGAAAAAAGTCAGTGGCGCACATGTTTATCTTAGAAAAATATTCACGTCCCTGGTGTATTGGTCGATACTTTTTTAGCATTAAAATATGTAGCACCCACACTAACTTTTACCGTCAAAATTTCATTCTTATCACTAAAATCGCTTGGAAGAAAATTATAATATACCGAAAAAAGATGAAAACTTTAACACCCTGTAGCTATGAAACAAAGCAGAATCGGACCCATATTGATATGAGAAATAAATCTTGAATTGGTTGACACTTTTTTAGCATTAAAATATGTAGCACGAATAGTAACTTTTACCCTCCAAACTTCTTCGAATGTCTAAAAGCACTAGAAAGAAAATTAAAATAAATCGAAAAAATGAAGATTTTAACCTCCTATAGCTATGAAACAAAGCAGAATCGGACCCATGTTAATATGAAAAATATATCATATTTTTAATCTCCCTACGAGAGATGGCACATGTTTTTTGAGACACCCTGTATACATTCTTTATCTATGATATAACAACCCAAGATCGATCAAGAAAGTTTAAAACAAGTTGAAGAGGTTAATTTTTGGCCAACTGTACAAATAATTGTTGATTTTTGGTTAGTATTTTTATTTGCTTCAAATGTGTTAATTTTAAAAGTGAATGTATCACGTCAAATTTTCAGTCAGCGGCTGTATTAGGCTCTAATCATTTATTATGGATATTAAGTTACAGGCACCCGCTAGAAGCTATAGGCAAGAAGCAAAGCAAAAATAAATGCTAGCTAGAATTCACTAGTAAGTTCCAGAGAATACTGCTTTTCGCTAGTAAGTTTTTGTCAAAATTAACTTATATTGGCGTAGGGTTTGTAGATGAAAGTCTCATCAGTAAATGAAAGTTTTTACCGTAATATTTACACTCAGTTAATCAAATACCATACGTTCGAAAAAAAACGACGTCAAAGACTGCTGGGGAATGACAATCGATAATAAATTTGGCGAGGTCAAGCCCAAGACGTCAATTTCTTGGCCCGTACACTTCTTTATTTTTTAATAGCTAGTTACTGCTATTAAAAACTGCTAGTTGTCCTTACGAAGGTTGTAATTTATTTTTATTTGACAAAAAATGATTTTTAAATGGTGTAGTTTAAAATTCGAAATAAAAATATTTTTTTGGGAATAGATTTTTGTGTCTGGAAACGTTCTATCCTTTTTTTAATCTTTCTATAATTAGTGTTAATTTATGACAAGTTTTATGCCAACTTTTAGTAAATGACGTCTAGAGATTGTCCTCGCCAAAATTATCATAGGTTGTCATTCCCCAGCCGTCTCTGATGCCGTTTTTTTTTATCATTCGGTATAATAATGGTATTACCTAATATAACTATTAAAACACGATTATTAATCAAAATAAGGTAATACATTAACAAACATTTTAAAAATATTCTTGGTACTCTATCGTGTTTAGCCGTTACTGTTTAATTTATTAAAAAATTTAAACGAATGGCTTTAAATAATTTATTATTTCAGGTTCGTTTTTTCATCCTGGTTTAAACAAGAACGAATACAACTAGCAACATTCTAATTATAACCGTTAAAGGCATTGTTAATTAAAAAAAATATATGTAATTGTTAATAGTCATTGTTAAAATAATTGCGACAAGAGATTACTAGACCTCTTTAAAAAAAAATCAAATAATTAAAACTTGCTTAATAGTTGTAGATACAACAAATATGGCATAAACGTTATATTATACAGAATATAATATACTATCGGAACTTATTTTATATCAAATAATGTAATAATGTATACAGGGTGGTGACAATTTCGATGCTCAACATTGGCATCTCAGAAACTACTGGAGAATTCGGTTAAATGGGACAAAAGTAGCGTTATTAGAAGCTTGACAAACACCTGTAAAGAAAACCCCGGTATCTTGATTATTTTCCGATTTATGTCAAAAAATAAAAATAATACGTTTATTTTAAAATATTGTTATTCAAAGATTTTTAAATTACAATATCTTTACAACTATTGTATCTATTGCAACGTAAATTGGTAGTTTTATATTGTTGACCTCGGCCAATAAAATGCCATTTTCAGAAATGTTCTAAGCCTTCTAGATTTTGCACAAAGGTCAAGTTTATAATTTCTTATGGCCGCCATTTCGAATTTTGATCCATTAAAAATATGACTAATATCGGATAACCCTTGGAAATGCAATTGCCACTTTATAGGACAGCAATTATTCCTTTATGTGCTGTCTTAAAAAAAATTGTATAGTAGATGTGTGTAGAATGTATTACTAGAGTCCAAAATCTACACAATGAAGAAAAACAAAATATGTATAGTGTTTACCTGAAAAACAGTTGGACTTCTGAGAAGATACGAGCAATTTGTCGGACACTGTATCGTGAAAGAGCACAGCCTTAATTTAGCAGATACTGGTAGATTTTAAAGGCTAAGAAGGCAATATTTAAAAGGGATTATTAATTATTAATCCCTTTTAAAAAATCATAAAATTAGTGTCATTAATGTCTTAGCTCAGATCGAAATAAATCAAGAAACCTTTGGCTCTAAAATATGTGACGAGTGTTTATAAGAGACACATGTACGCAGAATTATTTAAAAATATAAAATTTCATAAGTTACACTCCAGTGATAACAAAAGCAGACTAAAATTTACACAATCCTAAAATTAATAACAAAATTCTAGTCTGCTTAGATTTGATACACTGTTTGATTTGATACACATTTAAAGCCTCCTTTTTGTAGAAACATATTTTTGAACCAATGAATCTTTATTACAAATTCTGGTACCTTCAATAGACAAAATCACATCAATGCCAAGGTTGAGCATCGAAATTGTCACCACTTTTGTGGCTGGTTCATAAATATATTATATGAACATATTATATTATATGAACATATTATATTATATAATTTTGAAATTTCTTTCTTCAACTTTCAAATATCAAGTTCTATACAAAAGGAGGATTTGTGGGTACGGTTGAAACAGTAATTAGTAGTAGTTGATTTATGTTCTATTGTTGAAACGATTTGTTTTTTCCTTTTAGTTTATTTTCAAATTATTTTCATTTTAACAGCTTTTTCACCTAAATGTTTTTTAGTTGTCAAAAACTAATTAGAATTATCTTTATGGATATTAAAATAATGAAGACTGATTAATTTGCAATTATTATTCTTGCAATTAGAATTAACGTTGAATAAAATATGTTTTAATATTATTACTTGCATGCATTTCAATTGACGCCAATCACTGTTTCAACCGTCTCTGCCATATATATGGGGCCGATGGAAAGAAATTGTGTTTTTTAATATTGTATACTTCTTAAAATATCAACCTAGAAACTAAAATGGTATACCTTTTTCGAAGATAGAAAGGCGCTCTTGAATTTAACATATCATCATTATCGCTTGCTTAATAAACAGCAATACTACGAGTACTAAAAACCAAATCGTTTCAACAGAAGGTACCCAGTTTACCCTATGTGATAGAACCCTCCATTTCAATTTTATTATACATCAAAATAAAGTATAACAAAGAATCAAGTTTTAATTACTTACCTAACCTAACTACTACTTTTACTTGTTTTTTTTTATAATAACGACACTTACGACCATTACTGTATAAAAATCTATAAATCGCTCGCCCCTGTACATGCGACAATGTACCGAAATTTTTGTATTAATCGACATAATTCGTGGCGTCCCTAACAACGGCGATTCATAGCATCGCGACGCCTGAATTTCGACGCCGGTATACAGTAGTTCTTCGCTCCATGACGGTGTAAGAATGTTTTAGTGTTTATTAGAAGGCAATTAGCATATTCATTACGAGTTTAATACCATATAAATTTCTTGGAAAAGCCTACAAAATAAAATTGTATTTATGACTGTTTTAAGGGTAAGTTTTTGTAATTATTTTATTATTAAAATTTTGTTTTGAAGTTGTTTCTTTTATAATATTATATTTTAAGGCTTTATGGAACGGCTGTACATTTTTTCTAATTCATTAGTAAAATAATTTAACATATTGAACACATTGCGAAGATAATTAAATACAGTATAACTTTAATAGTTCGAACAGTCTCTATCTCGGGCACCCCGGTAATCCGGATAGTTCTATTATTCGGGCATTTTGAAACATTAGCATTTTGAAATCCAGGCACAAAAAAACCATACGCGAAATCTGAGAATTTTCCAATCTGGACAAGCTGAATGTTTACATTTTGTTTATGAACTGAGTCTTTATTTCTGAATTGGATTCCTAAGTGTGTTATGGCGCGCTCAGACGTCTTGTGTACTTGGCAAACAACTGTGATTGGCATACAGGGTGCACTAGAGTACACTAGTGCGTCGGGCATCTATACAAAATGTCTAAGTTATTTATTATAAAAGTTACGGGCACTATCGCCGGGCCTTGTATACCAATCACAATAATTGTTTGCCAAGTACACGAGTTGTCAGAGTCCGCCTTTAGACGTAATGGCTCCAATCAAGCGAGTACATAAACTCTCACACTCGCCGAAAAATCTAAAACATTAGATTATCTTGATTCGGAAAAAATTCCCGTCAAATTGAGGAGCAGACTATGTTCCAAAAACTGCAATGGTTGGCATAAACAAAAAGAAAGATAAAATAAAGACTTTTATATCAAAATAATTTCAAGGGCCACAGGTAGGAATACCATTATCGACGACTTCTATTAAAGACAAATGAAAACTATTAAAGGCAAGAAACTTGGCTAGGAATGTTACTGCTTTCCAGTGATGTTACCGTTGTGATTCCGTTTCAGGAAAAGTTTAGATCTGTTGTGCTAGAGATGACATTAAGCAAATTACAAGTATACAATGCAGATGAGCTCATTAAGGTGAAAAAACTTAGGCCGATTAACATTTATACCGTTCTGCGATGCAGCAAGGAATCAGGTTTTATGGGACAAATATTTTTTATCTACAATTTTGATTTATAAACGTCATTTTTGATAATTTTTGAGTTGTCTGCATTTTCTAAAGGAAAGGCCCCAGAATGCCTACTCTTTTTTGGCTTTTGTCAGTCATTGGGCATTAACGTTATTGGCCACACGATATTAGAAAATGCTGAAATACGACAGCTATCAGCGATACATCTTGTACAACGATGATCTTGTATCTCTTCTATATACCGGGTGTATCTCAAAAGTAGCTCACTCCCTATAACTGTTTTATTCTTTCAAATAAAAAAACGAGATTTGGTACGTTAGTATATTACATAAATCGAGATTTATTGACGCATTCAATTGCTTGCGGTCACTTCACGTTTTACCGGAAATGTTGATTTTTAAATTATACCCTCTGTTTTTTTTTTCGCATATGATTTATTCCTTGGGTTTATTTAAAATTGTAACATGCGGTTCATAACGACAATTTGCCTCGAAATTTTAAAGTGTGTGGTATCAAATTATCCGTAAAAAATGCTTTTTCCAAATATGCCAATGAACCACCCACATTCCGTTTGAAAAAATTGAGGTATGATTAAAAATACGATTTGGACATCTGATAATCGGCAAGGAAAATTTACGAAAATATTGGATGGTCAAATCTATTTGAAGGGTTCAGGGGAAAAACATGATAAGCTTCATTTTACTAATTTTACAGGAGAGCACTTGACAGGTGATGGTGGATATCAGGTTCTTTCCGTGTATTCTATATTTTTATTAGGCATGTTACAGATGGTCGGACTGGCCATATAGTCAGTAGGCCTGTTCCAAATACCGGACCACCGTTTTAACACCGGTCTTGGGCTGACACCGGTGGCCAAATATGGACTATCCGGTGTTCCGGTGTCGACACCGACACCGGTGTTGACGCCGACACCGGTATTCATTTCGATACTGGTGTTCATCTACATCACCGGTGTTCATCTCGACACCGGAGTTGGTCTGGACAACGGTGTTCATCTCAATACCGGTTTTGACTACAACACCGGTTTTGATATCGACACCGGTGTTTGGTAAACGGGTTAAAGAAGAAAGAATTTTAATTAATAAGTTCAAAATAAACCTGATAATTATAATGTCGTATCAGTGCTTATTTTTATCGTTTATTAAAGCGCACCGACTTTAACTTAAAACTTTAAAATTTAATTATATTTTTTATTTTTATAAGGCTCCTTGATTAAAACTTGTTTTTCGCACAACCATGGCACCCTAGATTTAAATTTAAAATACGATTTTTAAGCAAAAAATGTCAAAAGTTGACATATGATATGTCATACTATTCAGAGTATAATTTCCGGCGAAACAAGAAGTGATCGAAAATAATTGAATACGTCAATCAATCCTAATTTATGTCATATTACTAACATACGCTTAATATACTATAATAATATACGCTTTTTTATATGAAAAAATAAAAACGTTATAGGAGAAGCCACTTTTGAGAAAAACCCGATATAGTAGTTCCTTGCTCTATGACGATGGAAGAATGTTTTAGTATTTATTGGAATGCAATTAGCATATTCATTACGAGTTTCACGCGAAATTAATTCCTTGGAAAAACCTAATTATTTAGTTATTGCAATTATTATTATTTGTATTTTTGTTTTGGAGTGTGTTTCTTTTACATATTTTATTTAAAAAACATATCTCGATAATATGGCAACATACGTAGTAGATTAAACATAGAGGAACGAAAGCCTGGAAAAAAATCCCGTGTTTCGCAAAATTTAAGCAAAAAAATCCCTTTTTTAAATTTTTAAAGCAAAATATCTCGGCTATTTTGGACTTACTTGAAGGGCGGCAAAAAGAAAATATACTTCTTTTATCGAGATCTGCAGATTCTGTGGGGAAAATGGGGAAACACCAGAACACCTTATCACTGAGTGCGCCGAGACGACAACCGTTCGTGTCATAAACTTTAGTACGGCTGATGTCGAAGATGAAGAGTTGGCCTCTGTGGAGCCGTCTCAGATACTGGCTTTTTTCAAGAGAAATTATGAATCAACAGAAGCACTCGAAGAGGAGGTACGGGAGAAGTTTATAATATCAACCGCGTTCTGTGAGAAAAGGTTATTCTAATTCAGTTTTAAAAAGATGCATTTTATGTCCTCAAAACAATGGCGGATTTTTTGAAAATTAGTTGCGTTGCAGTTAACACAGAAATTAACTAAAAGTGTATGTAGTGATATTATTTTTATAAATTTTAATTTGTTTAATGTAAATTGCAAAGAACAGTTTAATAAAATATTCTCTCTTTTTATAAGTTATAAATCATAATAGAATAAGAACACCACCTAACCTAACCAACTAAGTGAAATTGCTTAAAAAAGGTAAGAATTGGCTCTAAAGTAATTTTTCGAAAAAAAAATTGTTAAAGTACGTCTGCTGGATCTGTATCTATGAAAGGAATGCGGACAAAAAACATTTAAATAAACAGCAATATATTTTATACGTCGACTTAACGAGTACGTCACCGCAAATCGCTCCGCCCACTCATTTTATTGGTTATTTGCAAATTTGTCGAATTTTTATTGATGGGGCGCGTCGTCTATTTTTTTACGAAAAATATCGAGAAACTATCGTTTCCCTTCTCACGGATACCCCGTAGCTACAGAACGGACAGACGTACTGTAGCTTATATCGCTGAAAAGCTTAAAAATGGCACTTTTTATGAAGTCATGGCCAACTATGATTTCAATTTAAAAAACATATGTTTGTGTCATATGTCAATGACAGACTTTAGAAAAATATGACAGACTTTAGAAAAAAAAGGAGAACACAATCTCATTAAGGATGTGATTATCTACAGCTTTTATCTGAAAAGTTTTTATCTAAAATAGATTGTAATGGAATTAGGGAGCATTTTTAAAATAGCCGAAATTTGCTTTTTTTAGATATCTAGTTAGCCACAACTTTTTCAAAAATCCGAAAGGCGCATGTTTTTGACCTCACAAAATTGCAATTCTTTCTCCATTTACCTGACTCTATATCCAGTAGTTTCCTAGATACCTATACAGAACAACGTAGAAAACTCACCCTGTATATTCTAAGTGAAGGATGTAAGAGCTGTAACTGTCTCTGGAATCTTGAAGCATGTTATAGGGCATAATATGCCAAATGTAATTTCAACATAGGAACTATTTCAGTTCCCAGCGGACAATTTTTATATGTAGAATTTTCCACTGAAGTTTGATACACTTTATTATTTGTTTACATCCCATATTATAGACTGTGTCCATGATAGCTAATCATATACACGGTGTCTCCTATTACAAGCAAACCAAAAACATAAAATACGAAAATAAGAAGTAAATAAGAGGAGTTACGAAGATGATTAAATTAGAGAAAAGTTGAGTCTTGATGAACTCTATAGTATATTATATTTTGAAATCTATAAAATCTGATTTCAAATCATTGTTCAGATATCAATCTGGGAAAACCGAATTTTTCCGATTATTTTTTTGACAATAGAAATTTCACATTTCCATTATTACTTTTCCTGCTCTACAAGTTATCTTTTCGACACCATCTCGACACTTACTCTAGAGTTGCCAACCGTCCTCTATTCTAGAGGACAGTCCTCTTTTTGATCTCACTGTCCTCTTTTCTCTCGCGTATTGGAAAGGTCCTCTTTTTTACATACCAAACACAAAATCGAAAAAATGTTTGTCTATCACCACAATGCTGTAAAATATTGTTAATCTGTGTTTTTCGCTACTCCCACTCGTTTGTACAGAAAAGAAGTCGAAGAAATATTAATGTAAAAAAATATGTGTGGAAGCGACAAACATGTTTAACTATTTTATGTTTACTTATTGTTGGCTCATGTTATGAAAAAAAGTTTTGGTTGAAAAAAATGTGTTTTATTTTAACAAGTTTTGAGTATAAGTATTGTTAAGAAAATAAGAAAGACCATCAATCGTATACCATTGACATAAATTTTTGGTAAATTCTAGACATTTGGACGAGGTTTCAAAAAATGTTTCACCTGTGCCTCTTTTTTACCCCCTCGTCCTCTATTTTTTATTTTAGAAGTTGGCAATCCTAACTTACTCTGATATCCAACATATTAGTATCTCAATCGACACTCAATATATCCAACATTATTGCCGTAGTGATATCATAATCAATACAATACCAGTAGAAATTAATTCTTTTATCGTTATTTTTCAAGTACATTGTTATATTTTTACTATTTTATCCATTAATGAATTAATCTACACTAACATGTCAACTACGAAACGAAACAATTGAAAGCTTTTTGTATACTTGACAGCCTATAATTTCATTACTTTTGTCATTACCAGAAGCCATCAATAAATGCATTATAATTCATTTTCAGTTGTACCTACATAATATATTATTTATTCCCTTTCTACATAGATAATTTTAATACAACTACGTAGATATAGGTACACATTAAAAAGTTTAAAAACAATAGTAGATTATAATTGGGAATTGGAACTCAATTGGAATTGGTGTTACAAGAGCAAAATAAAACACTACCTCACAACAATACACCAAAACACTTTACTTTTGCATTTGATGCGCGTTTCTCTAACCAATACTAACTATGTTAGCATTATGGGCAGATAATTAATACTATAACTTTTACTATAACTACTACTACAGTTCTAGTCATCTGCTCATGATGCTAACATGGTTAGCAAATCGCGTGTCCAGTGCAAAATTAAAAGTGTTTTGGTGTATTATGATGAATTGGTGTTTTATTTTGCTTTATTACAGTGGATAAGTATATTTTTGTTATAACATATAATAATTTGTTTCAGATAAGATGGATTGTGTGTTATATTCTATATAACCCCGAGTCTCATGTTGAAAATGGTAACAAAACCAAATTCATTTAAAACGCCTCCAACATCCAGAGGCAATAGTCCATCCAGAGGAAACACTACAATTAGAAGTAGAAGCCCTTCTAGAAGTACCAACAATAATAGAGGTAAAGTTTTGTTATTGATACTAAATTAAGAATGATGAGAGAATATTTGTGTTAAATGCTTGGCAACTCCGTATGGCTTAACAATGAAGTGAAGTACAATGAGAGTTCTTTTGTCAATCTTGTGGTATGGATGACTGAATGATCTAGAATGACTAAAAACCACCCGATTTGTCAGTTGTAATGGTGCGTTTAGACTTGAGCACGCACGCACTGATCCTCCGCGAATGCTCAACTGTAAACGGCTGTGCGCGCACGCTCACTCTGAATCTGTATGTGCGCGAGCCGCCGCGAACGTGAGCCGTCTGGTGTCGGTTTTTGGTCCGTGCTCAAAGGGATTTTATGTGTGCGCGAATGCTCAGTTTGCACCGGCAATTTTGTTTTGTCTGCGTTCGTGCATGTGTGTGTGATTTTTTTTCGTTTTCTTTATTAAAATTATGGAGTGGATCAATGAATTTTCGTTATTATTAATTGAAGAATATGAAAAGTTGCCTATATTATAGGATGTTAAACATTCTTTGTATTATTAAAAAATAAAAAAAAAAACGCATGGCAAGATCTTGTAAATAAATTAATATTGAATATGTCGATATTAATGAAATTGCTATTCTAAAATTTGTATCTTTTGTTCGTAATTTTTGGTGTTATTAAATTCTGTAAATATTCAATGTCGGGTCTGGTCATTCTTGTAAAGTTTTTGAACTGATCATAGCCCTCCTCAGACCCTAAGCTGTTGCAGTAAATTATATCGATTTCTAAAAATTTGGGTTTGCCACCGGCGACGATGTTTTCGATTTTTCTCCTTTTTAATAATTAAACTGTGCATAACAATGACTGCAGCCTCGATTATTTCTTGGTCGTCCATTATTTTCGCCAACACAACTCTGCTGTGCGCGCACAAATGGATCACTTCATTCGTCGAAAAATAAGTTTTTAATTTGAACGGAGCGGAGCCGAGAGCGCGAACGAATGCCGTGCGCGCACGCTCAGCTCGTGCGTGCTCAAGTCTAAACGCACCATAAAAGATGTGCCATTTGTTCTCTATATTTTTGTTTGGATTTCAATTCAATTGTTTTTCTATATATTTCAATATCTTTCTAGATTTGAATATGCTATTTTCCCACTATTTTTCATAGAATTTCTATTCTATAACGTCTTGTATGTCACTATTTCCAGTAGACATCAATTGTTACAAATAAGCTATAAGCGTGCGTGACGTGAGCTGTTAATTGCCGAAGATGGCAGTGTTGCAAAGTTGCAAACCTAATTTATTTCAAAATTGATTTTATGTGTAATTTTTTTTTAATTTTCCGTTGCAGGTATAAGCCCGTCAAAACAAAAAAACTCAACCAATCCTAAAAATGGTGAAAAAGAACCACCCTCTACTAGAACCGGTAGATCACCCAATAGAAATCGAACTACGCCAAACGCTGGTACTCAAAGAAACGTGGGAAAGTCACCTGTCAGGTCAAGAGGAACTAGTCCCAGTAGCAAAAGTACTGCTTCGATTAGTACTAATGGTACTATGGGAAGTAGTGAGGTGAATAAAAGATTTAGGAGACCTAGCGAGTAAGTATTCTGAAAAACCATATTTATTTTACTTAACAAATTGTGTGTGCACTGTGTGCGCATATTTGAAGTCTTACTTTTGTCTGTCTGTCTGCCCGTCTGAGGACTCTATTCGGGTACTTCTATCCACGTGCAGAGTTTGGTTCCAATCGACACATTATTAAGAAAAATCCTGATGAATTCGTCCGTTTAGAGGCATCGGCATCGGTTCGAAATGTCGAGGGTGTCATCCTGTAGCCTGTCCCCAATTATGCCGAAATCGACCCACTTCTCTTCAATATCAAATCGTTAGCTCCACCCTGATGAAGATCTAAACGAAACATCGTATCAAACTTTGCAGGGTGGGGCCGTGTGCACCGTCGCTCACATAGCCTACCCACCAAATTTGGTCGCGATCGGACGACATCAAATTTTGACGTTTCTTACGTAAAAACTAACTCACAATGACTCACAATGACACTTGCCGTACACGGTCAAGTTGGCTTTGGTCCAATTTGAAAAATTGTGTATATTTTTTATCAAGATTTATTTTGTTATAAAATACAAGGTTTTCTATTTCAAATAGGTGACAACATTTATTAATTTTAACTGGCACTATAATATAATTCGTCCAAACAATAAAAAGTATTTTGGTTGGTTAAAGTGGCGATACGACTTTATCGAACTCCAATCGAAAAAGGGTAATGACTAAAACTGCTTTGCCCTATCAGTGGACGTCCAGTCAGCCTTTTGGTTTTTACAATATCATAGCCCTTATCCAATGAGTACGTATCTTGTTTTTTTATTATGTGGCTTTCGATATTATTCCAGTTTCTCCTTTCAACCAAGCCTTATCTATCCACTTTCTCTATCGAGTTCGAGTCGCCTCTTCTTCCTCATCAAGAGCTACAGCAATCACACCTAATCCGTCGCCTGTAAAATTACTCATTCCGCGAATTTTCAGAGAAAACAGCTACAATTAACTCAATCTAACGACAATTCTTAACTGATATGTATGAATAACAATCACAGATATTGATTGAATGAGAATGAGACGGTACGGCACCGGAACTGAGACGTAACTGATAAGTGTAAATAAGCCTTTAAATGTGCAGAAAATTTAGTCTAAAAATGGTCATATTTAGTCTTTAATAAAAAAAACGACTATAAATATAGAACTGAGACTAAACAGAGTATGTTAACCTCTGGCCGGCATTGTTTACTATGGAATCCCACTGGATAGTCAATATACTAATTGACATCTTTACAAAATTAATAGATAGTAATTCTGGTAATTCGTTATAGAGTTTTATCAAATAACGAGGTTATATAACGCCGATATTTGTAATTAATTTTCGATAGAATTAATAAATAAATAAATCTATTAATGGACTAATGACACCAGAACCCTATACAGACTTCTTTTTTAGACCTTTATTACGAAAATTATAGCTAAAATATTTTATACTATTATTAGTTAGAATAATTATCACCTTTTTGAAAAAAAAACACGATACACAATTTTGGCATGTAATAGGATCACAGATTATGATTTATGATTATTTTTTAATCGCTCAATTCCATGACAGCTGCCGCCATGATTATATTACATTCGAACAATTTAATTATTGAAATAGATAGCCACATATGTCTTCTCTTTATGGCACAGTGGCTGTGGTAATCACCTTTGGTAATCACTAAATTTGACGTTTAGGCTATACACATATTTTTGACAGGCGGCTTTTTTCGTCTAAAAATTTTAAATATTTTTTTTTCTCAAAAACGGTTAATGTTAGGTATAGAGTGTTTAATATCAAAATTCATAAAATTTTACAGAGAATTTAAGTATGTAATAAAAAATAGGGGCACCCATTTAAAATAAGAAAGTTGCTGTCAACTTCCGGTATTTCCGCAAGTGCCGCCATATTAAAAATATTTTTAATCGATAGATCTCGTTGTAAAACAATCATGTATAAAAATCTGCGATCTAGATAATGTAGTTTAGGAAAACTTCTATAATGCACGCTCAGCTTGGGACACCCTGTATAATCACATACAAGATATTACTTTTAAATTCTTTTATATTATTTGGAACGTTTCAAATTGTTTAAAAAATTATTTGTGGCGTTTGAAAAAAAATAGCATGTTCTATTCGGAGTAAAAATGACTTATTTTGGCTCGCCTGTATGTAGAACAACCTGTACGCCTTGCCACAAAAGTGTAATTTTTACTACTAATAAAACAATATACTATTTTTTTGAAAATTTTCAATGTAAAATAACTTGGTTATTTTGGACTTTTTTTATAACACTATAAAATAGCACATATAGCTGCCATTTTCATGTACATACATATTATATACCAATTACTTTGGTAATTCAAGGTTACTGGGGGGATATTCAATAGGAAAAATGTAATATCAGCGAGTTTCTGGACAGTTTAAAGGACGTACATTTTTTATGAGCTCGAGAAATTGACTTTTTGTGTTGTTTCCAATTATAGATATTCCACGAAATATTATTAAGGGTTATTACGACGACTTTAAACTTGAATATCATGTACGAAACAAAAATATAGGTTAAACTAGACACGTGAGTTATGAAGTTATGACATTATACCTATATATTTTTCTACAGTCAGATAGTTGAATCGATTTTTTTACTTATAGCAATGTTATGCCAAAATTCTGACTTCATATCAAATATCACAGGTAGGGGTATATAGATTTTCAGATAAATAGTTTTAAGTCGACAGGCTGGTTATGAATGGGCTGTAATTTATCTTTATAATTTCGATTTTTACTATGAAGAAGCAAAATGAAATAATGATTTTTATCTCAAGATTGTCTTAGTGGAGTTAGCGATTGTTAAATAGAGGTTCTAAGATTATTATAAAGCTTATGAATGATCTTTTACAAAGCTATATACAGGGTGCTACAAATTCGGGGTACGAGCATTGGTATTTCGGTAACCATAATAGATACGAAGATGGTTAAATTGGGGCATAGTTGCGCAACAACCAAACCAAGAAGCCATCAAAAAAGATTTAAAAATTTTAAGGACTGCTGAGTTTTTTGGAAAAAACGGATTTTTTTGAAAATCAAATTTTTTTTTTCCTGTCGTTACCTTTTAGAAAATAAAAATAAACTAATCGCACATTCTCATAGCCACTTCACTAGGGCTATCTGATAGTATTTTTAGATTTTTAAATTAGCTGATAATTTGTGAGATACAGAGACCAACTTAATTTTTTTAAATACGGACCTGCATTTTTTATTTCAGATTTTAAAAGAATTCGTTCTCCTGAGTACAGTGATATGCCACTATTCACCATTGCCACACTTCAAATGCAATAAAAAAATTAAAAATAATATAAATATAATATAAACAATCAAATAATTTCCCCGGAAGATGGATTGGAAATGGAAGAGTAGTATAATTGGTAGCGAGGTTCCTGGACCTGTCGCTAAGGAGTGGGGGGGGGGCATTACTTGACATCATTTGTAATAGAGAAATCAATATTTTTCAACATTTACAATAAAGAGTACAAAATGCATTCGGAAGTATAAGAAAAAGATATGTTCAAAGAGCTATAAATAAAATAGAACGAATAATAAATTTATGCAATAGGAAGGAGGGAGAATGGTAACCCTTTCGAACATGTAGAGCATTAGAAACTAGTTTGTAAAAGTTGATTTATTTATAATAACTACGATTAATATTATGCTCAGATTTCAAATTCCACAATAAAAAAAGTTAAAAATAATATCTTTAAATTACTGACCTGGATATTATTTATTTGAATCTTTCAACTGGTTCGATTTCCTTATTCAATATTAATCAGCGCTGATCAATATTATTGCAATGAATATAATCAGATTAAATAATTAAAAAAAAAACAGAGTCGGACTTGAAATTATATTAAATATTAATTAAATAGTTTTGTTGTTGTTAAAGTATCCAAAACAAAAAAAAAAGTATAAAGTTTGCATATCATTTACTCAGGAGACCGAGTTCTTTCAAAACCTGAAATAAAAAATGCAGGTCCGTATTTAAATAAAATAAGTTGGTCTCTCTTTCTCACAAATTATCAGCTAATTTGAAAATCTAAAAATACTATCAGATAGCCCTAATAAAGTGGCTACGAAAATGTGGAATTAGTTTTTTGAATTTTTAAAACGTAACGACAGGAAAAAATAAAATTGATTTTCAAAAAAATCCGTCTTTTCCAAAAAACTCAGCAATCCTTGAAATTTTAAGACAGACTTAAAAAAAAATGTGATCCACTCGAGATTTTCTGACGTTTCAAGGGTAGAAGGAAAATACAAAGAAACTATAAAGTTTTATAGAGTATATTATACAGTTTTAGTATATTATACCGGCTAGCATTTCAAGCGTCTAGCCGCTACCGGTAATTGACTGTCCCGTCGCCGTCGACACGAAGTAGAAATGAGTTTTGATTACTTTGGTTTCAACCTTTTTTCTCATGATTTTCTGTTTTTTTTTAATTTTAATACGAGCTTGATTTGCTTTGAATATCTTGATTTTTAAATTGAATGTCAAAGTGGGGGTTTAATAGAAAGAGCTAACAAAGACATTGGGTAAAGGTAAACAGTTACAGTGTTGTTGCTGTTGACAGCTGTTGTATTTCAATATATACCAATATTGTGTGATTTGGTTTGGTCTGGAAAAATCCAAGTAAAGAAGAGTAACATTTTCAACAATGATCTTAATTTATTTCCATTTTCGTAAATAGCCGGAATAATGAAATTGGGTACTTATGTTATTGGCCGGGTATTATCGTAAATCTTAGTATCTTCTTAGATATCAGATGAACAAACAGGTTTTATCTCCGGAAAAGGCACTAGAGAACAGATCCTAAATCTTCGACAGATCATAGACAAAGCCAGAGAATACAACATTGAGATGTACCTGTGCTTTGTGGACTACTCCAAGGCGTTTGATAAGGTAAATGGAATAAACTCTGGACTATTTTACTAGAAATGGGTACTCCACCTCATC